CCAATGAAATGATCTTTAAAAGAAATAAAAATGAAAGGAGGAAATTTTTAAAATAGAAGATTGTCAAGGAAATGGACTGACCTAGTGGCTGCAATAATGGGCTCAGTTGTAGGGATAATGCAGGACCAGGCAATGCTTAGTTCTGTAGTATACCAGTTCACTATGAATCAGAACAGACTCAAGTGTACCTGAATAACTAAAAAATAAAACGAGACAAAGCTTCTATCAGTGGGACAATGAGTCCAGACACAGGCACAGAGGAAAACTGTCTGGAAGGAGACAAATAATAGAAACATGATTAAAAAAACAGGCCCATATTGAAGCCAATGGCTCATTTTAGCCTTTATTTCTAAATGTGATTTTGTGTATCTATCATTTTAGGAAAAAAATAGTTGAAGATTTGTATCCCGGCCTTTAAAGTTCATCAGTCTAATAATACAATAAAATAATTAGAGTTTAAAAAAAAAAAAGAAAAGAAAACATCCCATCCTGGTCTAAATCAAGTCCATAAGTCTGCTATTGCCCCATATGTTGATACTAGTCCATAAATTTCAGCTCAAGTCCATAAGTCCGAGATTACCCCATATGTCGATACTAGTCCATAAATTCCTCTTTAGACTCACATCCATGCAATGACGCTAAATGCAGGAAGATCACAGCCCAGTGGGTGGGAAGTCTTGTGGATCCAGTGGTGGTAGTAGCATCTCAGCACTGGCGTGGGTCTCCAGGTGGCTCCTCAAGCTCCAAGGTTCTGGCTGCCATCAGCCTGTCTCCATGTGGCTTGTCAACAGGAATGTCTCACAGGAAGTGTGTCCCCCACCTTCAGTGAGTTATTTATCTCCTTCATGCCTCCAAATGAGGTCATCAAGCTGCGACCTGATTGACAGGCTAGACTCCACCCTTCCACAAGTTCACATGAGATTATGTAACTATACCACAGTTTGAAACAACTGGCCTGGCAGTTAGCAGCCCAACCTTTACTCTCACTCTCACCTGCCACTTAGTCCCCTTTAACCCTTGACTGATTCGAACATTTTCAGGTAGTGGAGCAAGGCTGGGAAGTCAGGAATCTGGAGATAGGAAGACTAAATAAAGTGAATCAATGTTTAGCTTGAAGCCGGGGTGGGAGTTGTCTCTGAAGTATGTGAGAGAAGAGACTTCCAAGTATTGTTCCCAAATAGAGCTGCATGAGAAAAGATTGGAGAAATATTTTTCACTCTGCAGTGAGAGCAACTAACTCGGACTTCTTTGTGAAATGCATTTCGTAGAGAACTTAATAGAAAGGAAGCCCGTTTGGGGCATGAAGTTGGGCTCCATCTCATAATGGGCAACATTCATTGAGTGTTTCCTATGTTCCACGCGTGGTTATACAGCTTTTATCTGCAGTAATTCTTAAGCCTCTAAACAACTTTATGAAGTTGAGGATCAAATTGTTTTCATTTTACAGTTGAAAAAACTGAGGCACAGGGGGGAGGCTAAATAACTTTCCCGTGGTTATATGACTGTGAACTTGCAGAAGGAAATTCAGACTAAGGCAGTCTGGGTCCAGAGTCCAAGGTACTCCATTGCCAGCTAATTATAGACGCCTGTAAGATTAGACCGCTTTTATCCCATTTTCCCTCATTTCTGACACTGCGTGTGTGCACCCACTGCTAAGGAAGGGGAAATAAATTGGTAAGCCTTTTAAGTGATGGGAAAGGATTGTTTCTAATGTTAAATACTCTTGTATTAATTTCTTTTTTCTTCAAGTTCCTTGGAAATGTTAAGAAATAGTTTGCAATACAGAAAATCTATCTTAATTCCCCAGAAGGTTACCTTCGAATAAGTAAATGACTTACACTTGAAGTCTAAAAAGCTGCCCCCTTTCAAGGAAGCCTAATGCTCACACCTCTTTTGCCTTCAAGATGATTTCCAGTTTTTTAGATCAGCAAGCCATCCTGTTTGTGGACACAGCTGACCGCCTGGCCTCCTTAGCTCGAGACGCTCTGGTCCATGCACGCCTGCCCAGCTTTGCCATCCCCTATGCCATTGATGTACTGACTACTGGGTCTTATCCACGGCTGCCAACCTGCATTAGGGTAAGCGCTTATGCCCCACGTTCTTAAAAAATGTCTATAAACTGTGGCTGTTGGCTTGCGCTGTATTACTAGCCCAGCATAAAGCTGCTCCATATTTTTGAAACAAATGCTTCATGTGGTTTGCTTTTTCTCCTCCGAAACTAAAACTGGGGGTGTCAAAAAAGGGGGGGTGGTCCCAGATTGTGAGTAGTTATCAAAATAAGTAACTTGTTATTTTGGGCCCGGGGTGGAGGGGCAGTGGGCGGTGAAGGAGAGGGAACGGAACAAATTGTAGATGGGAAAATCCAACCCAGTAGGTTTTTAGCAGCAATCTTTTAATTTGCTGTTGTAGTTTATTGGTTCGGTGCTATTATGATATATTTTATACTTTTAAGGGGTGGCAGAGGGCATCCAGTGCTATAGAGTTGGTTTCATAAATGGAGCACACAGCCGATAGTGTTGTATTAGTGACTGAGCTAGGTAATTAGGGCAGTGACCGGCTCTCTGTAAATGTGCTCTAGTGACGGCAGAGATGAGGATTGAGGTTCTCTTGGCTGAAGTGAGAAAATATTTATGTACAGACAAGCACAGGTAAAATAGGCCTTTTTGTACATTATCAAATAAGCACTTAACTGTTTTCGTAGGATAAAATTATTCCTCCCGATCCAATCACCAAAATTGAGAAACAAACCACTCTTCATCAGCTGAACCAGATTCTTAGACATCGGCTTGTCACCACAGATCTCCCTCCTCAGTTAGCGAATCTTACAGTTGGTATGTACCTTCTGAAATTTCTTTTTAAGAGTTGACTTGTTAGAATGTTTGTTTTAAGCTCCCTTACAATAACCATGTGGGTGGTCTTTGATGCTGTGAATTGTTAGCCATCTTATTTCTCTGTAGTACCCAAAATACAGTACTGGCCATTTGAAGCTATTGAGTAAGTGAGTCAGCTCGAGGTGGAGGAGAGAAGAGGCTCCAGAGTGGAGCCCCAAGAGAGATTTGTGTGTTCATGTTAGAGGAGTTGCTTTTGGTTTGATGAGTAACTTGGAAGCTGGCCACTGCTTATGCCTGAACCATTGAAATATTTGGACACTTATGAAAGAACCTTCATTCTTTTGAGACTTCTTTATAAGCAAGACTGAAAGTTCTATGAGTCACTTGATCTGGGGGCTCAGAACCATAGTCTCCGGGGACACCAAGGTCAATTGGCCTAACATAGTCTTCAAAGTCTCCTTCCTATTTTGGTGAATAGCCGCTGAGTCTTAAAAGCTTGAGAGCAGCCCTCTAAGGTGCCAATATTGGTCTCTCCTTATCTGGCGGAAAGAATAATGATGGAAATCGAAAGACACATGGAAGCAATTAGTTTAGTGGACTAATGTACAATGCGAAAATGTCTCCATAGCTCGGAGACCAGAAGATGTAGATATGGTGCCTGGCTCCCACTCACAACTGCTCTGAAAGGGATCACATTAGACGTTCTTGGATAG